TGAGGCACGTCGGGATTTGTGATGCGCCGGGCTCAGTGCAGCGTTGATGCAGCAATATACTGCCTGAAGATGTAGATTTGGAAATGCTTATGCATAGCTTGCCTTGGACGCGTGCTTCCTGATCCCAGAGCTGAGATGGTTGCAAGTGGCAGCATGCAAGGTAAGTCAGGTGCCGCTGGTAAGTGAAACGCCAATGCAAATCCGGCAGGGGTGCTTGACTCAACTACCGGCAGCCATGTGGAAGCGACATAGCGCACATATGGTACACAGTAACCTCTAAATGTTGTAATTCTCATCTTGAGGCCCGCAAAAGCCAGCCTAAACATCAAGAAGGCCACCCATGCAAAAGGCGTGCTTCCCCCCTCCATTGGCGACGCCATGCTGCCGGTGGGAAAGGTGCAACAGGAGATGGCTGCCCCCAAGGGCAGTCCGAGCGCAACTCCATTGGCACTTGGTAGAGTTATTTTTGAGTAGATCCGGGAGGGGCATGAGGCACACATGTTGTGAGACCCGCATGTCTTATAAAGTCTGTCGCTCAGACTCAGGAACATAGATAGGCATTTTTTAACTGCTGTTTGACGATCTCGGAAAGGGACGCATCATTTTGAGAGAGTGGCTTAGGTCACATAATGGTCTTTTTCCTGAAGCCCCCTCAGCAACAGGAACCCACACATTTCAAAATATCATGAATTGAAGTTGGCGTGTCCTTTGCCCGGCCTACCTGAAGAGATCACTACACAGTAAAAAGGGCTTAGATTTCTGATGGAGGACCAACCCGGACCCTTCGGCGATCATCCGACGAGGATCATCCAAAAAACATGGGAAAAAAACAGAAAAGATTAGCATGGCCCCTGCATAAGAATGCCACACACAAGTCGAAAAGTGTATCAAGTGGCAAAAACCAACAAAACACCGTAGACAATTCTAGGTACCCTCCAAAAAGGCTCCTCATGACTGAAAACCCTAGTCCGTACAAACAACTCCATAATCGCAGTTTCCATTTCATTTTCCATCCATCATTGAAGTTCTAAATCCATGTGGATATCTTGTGTGTGGGCCTAAACCTTAAAACTTAAACCCTAAATAGCAGTGCTACATGACTCTATGTACCCCTGTAATCCCCTGTAGAAACCTTATAAAGCCGCATACTTTCATGAAGAGTCAGCCAGGCAAGATCATATGGCAGTAGCGAAGACGAATTCCGCCATGCTCCCTCTGTTGCCTGGCTGGATGCGCACCAAGACCCTCCTGGTACCCTTCACTGGGATTGGGGCTATACAGCACCGGTACGTAAGCCCCTAATTGAAGGTAGTTGGAGGTCTAGGTAGGTTGCTTATGGTGCTTGAACGGAATATAAGAATTAGCATAGGAGATTGGATTAGCAGTATTGTAGGAATCCAATACCCATCTTGTGGAAGCACCATGAAGGTTACCTTTAGCCTTTTGGAATTGTAGCAGGGGTTAAGCTGTTTCAGAGCGGCTGGCCCACTACAACTATGACCACCAACCCCCATATACCCAATGATACTATAGTAGTTTCCATTTTATTTTGGATTATGCCCATATATCCCTATATAGCCCCTAAATAACCCAGTAGAACCCCCATGGTTAGCTTCCTTTTGTATGCAGAATCCGATCGCAACAGCGGAAGTGACCAATCATGGAATACTATGCCTTAGCCTGAAACTCTGCAGATCCCAAATGCTCTGCGAGCAATCAGTAAATTCTCAAGTCCTGAATCCCCCCTAAACCTTAAACCCTAATCCTTAAACCCTAAACCCTAAACCTCCAGCCTAGAGCCCTGACTCCAAAAGCCCTACAAATGAGGGGCTTTGAGAATAATCATATCCCCCTACTATTGAAAACCCTGCTGCACCCCGAAAAATGGTCAATTCTCCCAGTATCTCATTATATACCACAAAGGAAGTATTCATTAGCCTTTACTGTCTCTAACTTAAACAAGCCATCTCACATATAGATATTCATGTTATTTGATCTTAGGGCGTGTAGGTAGTGGTAATACTGGGGAAAGGAGATTTCTGGGGTTGAGGGTTTAGGTGGAGGCTGCAATGCTATTCTTTTTTGGGATTGGTGCGGTTTTTGGGTTAGGATTCTTATTAAGATTACCAAAAAAAGGTGCTACATGTGAGGGCCTAGGTGGGGTTCCCACCAGGTGGCACGTCAGCCTAGTGAGGCAGGCCTGCGGAGCATGGCGAACCTTGGCGGTTGGAGGGGATGAGGTTTCGGCTGAGGGTTTAGGGCTTTGGTGGGGGTTCTATGCCTACCCAGAAACAGTTTTCAATAGGGTTATGGTAGGGGCCATATCTAAAACTAGAATATAATTGTCATCTACTTGGAATACTTGGCTCATCAGCATATATGAACACATAAATAACTGCATAAATCTACATATCACCACAATGTAATCGTTATCTACCTGTTTTATGCTTGGGGCAGAACCCAAGCTTGGTTGAGGCTTTGGTGGGTGAAAGCGGGGCGGGTTGCGGAGGCCAACTGTGAGACAAAGAGAGTTGGGGGATTACGTCGAAGTTGGCCTTGTTTATGATTGACGTTGGATGCTGCGGGGTCTAAGAACTCATGGAATGCTAACATGGCTCTCACTTCCTTTGGCATGGGGTTTATGAGAGTCTCCGCTGAAGCTCTCACGAGAATGCTATGTGGACCGAGTAGTTTCCCAAAAGAGGAATCATTTGATCTGCCAAACGCATGACACTACAGAGGCCACGGTGCCCAGAAGACGTTTACAAGACAATTACTTTTAGGAGTAGGCTGCTTCAACGCGCCACTAGCTGTATCATCGTTCTCATCATTATTGCTGTTATTTATTCAGATTGTTCGTGTTACTACTATACCATTACTTTATGTCGCAACTTTTTGCATTTTTTCACCAGTAGCGCCGGCTCCCATAAAATGATTGCACGCCATGCTGCAGGAATCGATTCCGCACGAAGTCCATGGTAGTGCAGCTGCTTTGATGCAATTTTGCGCAGAACTTGGAAATTGCGGGGGTCCTCATTCGTAAAAGACGCATCATTAGGTTCAGGCCATGCTTTCATCCTGTCTCGTAGTACCTTACCAAGGGGTGTATGTAGTGCCAGCGATGGCAACATTACCTGTGTCGTCCAGATTGTTGGTACTACAGTGGTGGTCGTCGTAGGAGTTGTTGCAGTATTATTCGTAGTTTGGTTTTTGTAGCCGCAACACAAGCAGAGGCAGGAAGGGCTCTGGTTGTCCTAACCCCACAAGCAGCACCATCGCTGCTCTCGCGGCAACCGCTACTACAATGGCAGTGCCTCCACCACGAGGTTTGCCAGCAGCAAGTGCGCCAGCAACGCCGCAGCAGCTGCAGCAGCAGTAGCAGCCACCGCCTAAGGTGGCCACTGCAACCACTGCGGCAGCAGCAGTGGCAGGGAAGAGGAGGAGCAGCAATGACTGAAAGAGTACGGGCAGGTCACAGAAGCAATCGCAAAGAACAGTGCTCACAATACTGGCGGTAACAGCCGACAAGCAGAAATCACAAAGGAAGTCGTCTTGAGACGTTGGTAGAAATTTTCACAATGAGCTGCACGATCCCAACTTCTCACGAGGGCTCAGATAAATGGGGACTTGAGGATTGCCGGTCTATGGTAACGGCTGAAGGCGAGTCATGCAGCTTTTGTTTTGCATGACGCGCTGATGCTCTGCTGGACAACCGGGAAACCGCGCTTGAAAGTTTGCTGGCACATATTCTTGAGCGCGCTTGTTCAGGAACTCTTTGATCGACACAGTGGCACAGAACGATGCCGAGCGGAAGCTGCGACACCTATGCCCTGACATGTCACAGGCACGGGAGCATATGGGAGCGTTGACAAAAAGATCGACAAAAGTAGAGGCAAGCTCCATTCAGAGACGATAGATGCAACTGTAACTGCTGAATTTTGGATTGCCAATATGTCAACAACTGGCCCAGAGACCTGAGAAGACACTTGAAATATGTTGATGCTTTTTCTTGTGTTTGTTAACCCATGCTAACTCTATCCTCACCTTGGACATGAGCACCGCCGACCCTGCTTGTAAAAGTTTCAGCGGCAGCGGTTACCGCATCACGGTTGCTCGTTCGATTGCCATTCCATGAGTCAATTGACATCTCCCTTTCCATGGCCGACATCCTTAGCAGGGATCTGAGTTTCAAATTGCTTCTGGTGGCTGAAACTGTATGTGCCAAATTTATTGGCCATGGCGGAATAAGACAGCATGGTGGTAGTGGAGGTAGCGGTGGCACATATTCTGATTGATTTAGGCCGGGCGATGAACATGATCGCCATGCATTTCTGACGGGGCTGCGCATGAGCTGGTGCATGAGCTTGACATGTGATTTTAGAGCTGGAAGGCAAGCCTGCGCCGCGTTCGGCAGGACGCGCAGCTGTGCTGTGGACTCTTTCAGGGGAACGGCATCCTGGTGAATTGTGCCCACTTCAGACAAGATGGTCCTCCATTAATTGTCTGTTGGGCAGGAGCACAAGAGCTCTACAGCCTCAGAAGCAGCCAGTTTGCGCAAACTAGGTACACTTAGGAGCAGGAGTCATGCTACTGGGACCCTACCGTGACTACAGTGGGGTTTGACTTTGAAGGGAGGCCTTCTCTTGGTTCCGCAGGCGCCAAGCACTTGACCGTACGGTCTAATGCTTGGCCAGAGTCATGAGTATCATCCATGCCAACATGAACTGATACGGTACCCTCTCGCAACTGCAGAAGCCCCCGTACACAGCGTGGCACGCCCAAACAGGTATTCTAAATAGTAGGTCTGATTTGGGCTTATGTGCTGGTGCCCTGTCTCATGCGCATGTTCCTATCGTGCATGGGCACATTTAGGGCTTAACAGTCCCTAATTGGCGGGAAGCTGCAAAGCCCGTTACCTACCCTCACCGCAGGAAAGAATACGTCGAGAAGAAGATTTAGCTGCGCTTGACAAGGAAGACTTACAGCAGCTGGGATTGTCCATGGTGCAGCGCGCCCGAGTGCTCGCCTGGTCACGTGGTAAGACCTTCGAAGGATCACAGCGGCCAGATGCGCAAGAGAGTGACGACCCGCTGCAGTCACCTCAGTTCGAGTTTGAGCGAGCGCAGTCTGCCGAGGAAGCAGAGGCCAGCTTTCGCCTTGACACTGTCGAGTCGGACGGCGACTTCTGGTGCGACCTGATTTATAAGTGGAGCTCGCAGGACGCTGACTGCCAGTGCATCCTGGATGCTAACACTCTGGTGGGGCCAAACACGAGCCGGCACGATGATGTCCGAGAGGACGTTTTGGAGTCCCTCTTCGATCTGAGCCCCGAGCGTATCTTTGAAGTCTTTGAAGCGAACTCGCGTATGAACCTGCTAGCCCCTGGCAAGCTGCCAAAAGCATTGAAGGCCTACGGCCTTCCGGAGCCGGCCAAACAAACACGCCAAAAGATGTTAATGGAAGTGTGCCGAAATCCAGATGCAGGCCTTCAGCTACAAGAGTTTGAGGCAATCGTGTCCCGCACAGTTCTGGCTCGTTTGGTTACAGGCTTGGAACAACACCCACGCGCTGTTGAATGCCTGAAGGTGACTGACTACAGTGCGCGCAGCATCGAGCCGGACAAGCAGCAGTCCCTCTCAGAGGACCAGTGCCGGCAGTTCTTCTTCGGCCACAGACCGACAAACGGCTTGGCATCCACAGTAAGGTGGGTACACGTCACAGGGCTTGAGCTCTCAGTAGTGCTGGCTCTGGCGGTAAAGTACAGCTTACACCCTCTTGCAGTTGAGGATACAATTCAGCAGAATCCGTGCAAGATTGATCGCTATGGTGATCATTACTTTGGCACGATTGAGCGCATTTCGTTGGCCCATCAGCGCAATCCTCATCGCCCGGTTGAGGTCATTGGGCATCACGTATCTTTTTTTTGCTCTGGCGCTCCCAACATGGACACGGTCATTACAGTCTGTCAAGAGGATCAATCTTTCGAAAAGGAATGGCCGCGTGCTGGCGTGACCCTTGTCTCCACCACCTTGCAGAGGCCAGAGCTGAAGCTACAGAAGATCGAGAAGCGTTTGCGGCAACCTGTGTCGCGCCTGCGGGAACGACGTGCCAATTTCTTTGTGCATGCAGTCCTGGACATCTGTGCAGATGAAATCAGTGATGTGGTGCGTGCATTTGGGAACCGGCTACAGGTGCTCGAGCAGGATGCACACGAAGGAAACAAAGTCGACTCAGCAGGCGATGAAGCAGCGACCATTCGCACACAACTGGCCCTGGTAGATCGCCGTGGCAAGAGCCTCCAACGCGTTGTGCGTCGCCTGCTAGCTGACGAGGACTTTTCTGAAGGCTCTTGTGTAACTGCTAACAGAGTCTTGCATGCTAGAAACGCGCATGTACATGTTTAAGACCTGGCCATGCTGAAGGCCATCAAAAGCAGTGCATGCCATACTTCGCACACTCACCCAGCTGACCTGTAGGCATGTTCAGCTACCTGAATGATGTGTCGGACCACTTGGAAGAAGCTCGTGATGACTCCGGGCGTTTAGCTGAGAAGTGCATTGGCGTCTTGACTAAATCTAGCGTTGCTGTTTTTTAGGCCTAACACTCAGCTTCAGGCTAAGTGCGCATTGAGGTATCCAGCAATTGCACGACCGCCTGGCTGAAGCATACCAGGATAAGATGCTGAAGAGCCAGGAGATGTTGCGAGCTAAGCAGGCGGATCGCCTCAACAACATCCTCTTTGTCACGTGGCTGTTGAAGAAAGGAATGCCAGCTGTTGCGCGTTTGAGTGGCCGATCATGATCTTGCCTTTGCTTGAGCCTATCAGGTTTTGACTTTGGTCACCACCATCTTCTGCCCAGTGCAGTTTATGTGTGGCGTCTATGGCATGAACTTTGTGGATAATACAGGGCGTCCGGCCATTCCGGAGCTGTTATGGAGGAATGGTTACCTCTACTTTTGGCTGATCGTGGTGAGCTACCTGAGCCATGGTAGCAGAAAGCAGTCCTTGTAGAAATGTGTTTTGAATGAGTGAAGCAGTGAGCACAAGGATGGCTGCTTTTTCAGCTGCGGCTTACCTGTACCGTGCCTTGCTTGCAAGACTTGGCATGGAAAAGGCTTTTCCGAATCTCTGGCCAAAACTGTGTACCGCATCTGCTACTGTACTTAAACGTGTGAGCCAGGAAAACAACCTGCGCATGCAAAAGTTTATGTGTCTCAGTCTAAGTCAGTACAGAGTTCGAACCCAACTTGACAGAAGCCGAGATGATCCTATCTGTAGCACATGTGGTTGAAGTACCAGCTTTGCATCCAGCTGGCGATTGCCAAGCTTGGTGAGGCTTCTTCAAAGCCGTGGACTCTGGTGAAGTTGAAGCTGAGACAGACGATGGCAACCGTGCTGGCGGAGTCAGAAGAAGGAGGCGGCGGGCAGAAGTCAACGCTAGGACAGGCTAAAACATGCTAACAAGATTGCTGGCAAACGTTATCGTGAGGTAATCATGCCTGCAAGCAGAAGCAGAGTCATGCTTGGCCAAACTTGCAGCTTGTCCGCAGGCTGTACTACTCTCTCAGCTCCAGCAGTCTGCTTGATACTGCCGACTTGGAAGGCTTTGGCAACTTGGAAAATTCCTGTTGGAAGCGCTGTTGGGAAAATAGGCTAGGTACACATAGAGCCAATCAATTGAAGATATTGCCCCAAACGGAACCACAAAGATGATAGTCATGGGGCTGTCATGGCTGAATGTTTGGGGACTGCAGGCCTTCCCTACCCGCTCTGAGCGCCTGTGGCTGCCCATGAAGCCCAATATGCCTTACTTCAGAAAAACTTTGCTGAAATCATACTAGGCATGCCCATAGAAAACGTTTAGGGCTGTTGGGCCTTCTTACTGAGCTGTTGGCGCACCTTTTTCCTTCGGAGTGGTTGGCTGTGATGGCCACCTGTCGTTGCATACTTCATTTTAGTTTTTTGTTTTCGCAATCATTTTAGGTCTGGGTGGTCCCCACAAAGAGTTAGATTGCGGACACACAGGCGACCCGAGCTTCAGAATGGCTTGTGCAGAGCAATCGCCATGTAGCATCACAACTTTGCTTTTGTTGTAACGCCTGCGCTGCCTTAGGGTACAGGTGGCCATCTGAAGCTTAATTATAGACAGGTTGCAAATGTACCAATACACCTGTTTTTTGGATAATGGCCCGGCCTTGCGGCTTTGTGCCAGCATGTGCCAGCGATGCCAAAGCACCGCTATTGCTAATGTTCCCTTGCAGCTGGCCAAGCAAGCCGAACCCAAAATCATGCCTGGATCTTGCTTCAGCCAATGCTTGGCCATGCAATTGGAGAAGGACAAACCCTGCGATGCAAGGGTGTGTCCTAAATTCATTGCACTATCCGCTGCATGTCTGTTAGTCGCAGAAAAAGGTGACCTATCAGTGCCGCGCAGTTGGCATCTAGGATCAGGGAGCAGTGTCAGAGCATGTCAGAACCGTCAGGCCAAGGGCCACTAATCGGAGACTTCACAGACTTGCCTTTCCCGGCTTTGGGGCTTAGAATTAGAATAGGACTCCAAATGCTGTGCACGCTGGCTGACGGTTTTGAACTGACCACATTAAAACCGTAGACAATGCTGTGAACCTTCTCCTCCTCAGATGACTGGTCCATTGGAAAATCATTCCCGATCAGTGGAGTGGGGAAAGGAAGACTTTACTTGGAACTTTCAAGACTTGTATCTTCAGTTGCCTGGTGTGACCAGCTATGAACCTTGTAGAACTATTCGCTTAAATCCCTAAACACGCCATCACATCGAAGCAGCCTTATCAGGAAGCCCTGAAACGCGCAATTCCTCCGCCCACTTTCCCAACTACGACTCCTACCTTTTTTAGTTTACCTGTTCGTTCAGCAATTGATAGCTGATTTGGCGTTTTTCCTACTACTGCTTCTGCTTCTGCTACTGTGACTGCTACTGCTGCTGCTGCTGCTGCTGCTGCTGCGACTGCTGCTGCGACTGCTGCTGCGACTGCTGCTGCGACTGCGGCTACGGCTGCTGCTGCTTGTGCTGGTACCAGATGTACGCTTTCACAGCCACCTCCACTAGTTACCACTGCCGCCGTTGCTGCTGCTCTGCTATTCCTACTGCTTGTGCCGCCGCCACCGCCGCCGCCACCGCCACCGCCACCGCCACCGCCACCGCCACCGCCGCACCACCGCCAACACTGCCGCCACAACTACCTCGGCGGAAAAGATGACGACTACTACCATTCGGCGACAACGACAACGCTGACACCTATGTGAAGGTTCATGATCCATGAGTAGCTATGAGATGGGCTCTAAGTCCGAGCTTTGAATATATAGCAAACAAGAGTTCAGCTGTAAGTTTGGAGAACCCCCTCGACAAGCTCATATGTCCGCATGGTTCCTTTCAACAACGATCCCTCCAATCTCCAGTACTGCTATCACGACCGGGCGCCCAGACCCTGAACCTTCAACCTTTCATTCCCCTTATCTCATGTGTTACTGGCAATGCAATTTCCCGTGCCAACCCTAAACCCTAAACTGGGTTGCTGTTAAGGAACTTAGATTAGGCTACAATAATAGGTATATAACTCGTGTGTATATATATACATACATATTTATAGAGATATATAGTAACTAATATGGTTTCCCCAGTAAAGTACCTTACAATACGTCCTTTCACAGCAGCCCAGTAAACCCCAGAGCCGTTGTACCTGAGGTCAGGGATGCCTTCCTTGGAGGCTTGTTTCCTGGCCGCAAATCTTTGGATCCAAAAAGTGGAACCCCTTAAAGGGGTTTATAGGGGTCTATATAGGGGTATATAGGGTTTAGGGATTAGGGTTTAGGGTTTAGGATCCCATTGAAAAGGTTGCGTGAGGGATTGCAGAAGGCAACAGAGTATGCATGTGAAGTGGTTGGCAGCCGCCTCCCTGCCATCTAAGGCAAGAAACATTTGGACGCCGAGTCCGGAATGAAGTTTGAGGATCACATGTACGAATTTGTGTTCAGCCACTTGCCGAGCAGCTATTGGGAGATCTACATTTAAAGACCTTGCCTCAAGCTCTGGCCTTCGAAGCACACCTGGTCACACCACAGCTAAATTTCTACGGTGTTCAAGCTGAAGAGAGACTTGGCCCTGAGGCTGCAAAGAGATTTCGGAATTCAAAGGCGAAGCGCTCCGACAATGGCATCTTGGCCGCATCGGTCAAAGACAAAATATTGAGCTGTTTCCATCCACGATACATATATATATATATAAAACCTGCGAGAGCTACAGTGGCCGAAGTACTGGGACCAATAGTCATAATCAGCTTTGAAGCCTCGAGTGTTCAGTTGAAGAGCTCTTTGCCTTGTGAGTGTGTCCAGCATGAATCGTGATGGAATTTCGGAGAGCTGGGGGTCCTGTTTGCAGGTCCTGTTCTGAGCAATCTCCATGTTTGCAACTGATGTCGGAAAACAACTGGGCGACGGCGGACTTTTTCAGAAAGCAAAGCTTCAATCCACATTGAAATCTCTAGCTTTGACCCCAGTAGCCATTCCTCGCCCGAGACCTGTCTTTTATGGAGCTCTTGTTTGAGAGGTAGTCCCTGTTCAGGGGGCTTAGTGTCTTGGAGTTGAAGGCGCTTGATTGCATCTTGCCTTTCCGGCTCTTCGACTCCTGAAACCCAGATGCAGAAGTCAACCAAGCAGAACTAAGCCTGGAGCCCCAGGATAGATGTCTATGTTGTTTCCTTGCATCTTGTCTGCACAAGCTGAAGCAAGTGGACACAAGATAGGATGCAGTGCGAAGAGCTTGTGGCTATCTATGCACGACTCGATCGTCAGGGGTTGAGATGATGAAGCCTTGCAATTCGGTTCTGGGCACCGTGTAGGAGTGAGTGGGGTAATGAGACCAGGTTGTATTTGCATGTGGGTGCATATCGTAAACTGCTTCATACCGGGGTTGTTGACAAGATCACGCAGAATATTGCTTGGACTGGCATTCGTGCAACGCAAGTGCCCTACAGCAGCTCATGTTCCTGCGCTAGACGGAAGAGGTGGTTGATCAAGTTTTCTACGGCAGGGGGGGCGCCAGCATAATCAAGAATGCCACAAAACCAGATCACGCCCTCAAGGCTCTGCTTCAGAACCCTGCAATGACGTCCAGAAATTCAATCACGTGCCAGGAAGAAGCCTCCAGAGCTTCACGAGATCTTCTATGCCGCTGAGCTGAGCTGCTGAAGGTTTCTTTAGGCCAAGGGTTCATTTTTTGTAGCGGTAGGCTCTTTGGGAGGTGTATGCAGGGACACCTGTTTTGTGGGCATGGGGTCAGGTATCGTGCAGGCTAGCACACCATCATACAAGTCTTGATGCTAAATGCTCAGCTTGGACGAGGTCAGTACGGTTAGGGGTGGGCTTGCTGCCAATATACAGAGTAGGCGTCTCAGAACACTCTGTCTGAAGGAGGCATTCCTTTGGGTATTGTTTTTCTCAGAGTCAGACACCCCGATAAGCATTTTCATACAGCAGGCAACCACGTCAGGGCACGAGGTTTACGGGAGCCACTCAACGACGTGCAACCTACAGCCTGGTTTTGTTTCTGTTTCTGAGCAACTGGTAAGTATGGCCTGCATGTGATTGTTTGTTTGCTCGCTTGCCCGTACCTATCGAGCCTTCAGGACATCAAAGAAGCCACCGAACTGAAGTTCGTAGGCCTGATGGCTGCTGGGTTTAGGGTTTTTGGCCGCTTGTCAAGCTGACTGCATTGTGGAAAACCAGATATTCCCTTGTGATTGGGGGATTGAGAATCCATCCCCTCCATTGCATGTACATCTCTCACTAACTGCCGCGCCTGAGGGCCCTGCAACACTCCATGAAGATTCAAGATCTCATGTCATGAGCTATAGTCTAAACTCCTAGTATCCCCCTTAATAACCCCTATGGATTCCCCTGTATAATCCCCTACATAACCCCCTTTAAGGAGTTTAGACTATGGCTCATGCCTTCTGGCAGGTGTTGGCGAGCTGGAGCAAGCCTACGAAACTCAGCCTTGGCCTTAACAAATCTGGCAGCCTGTGCACTTGCAGAAGAAAGTCGGGTT